CATCAGGATTTTGCAGGGTGACTCATAATATGCAAGATGGCAGGTATGTCATTATTATCAAAGCCCAACCCTTTGGTAGGCATGGCTTGGATTGCAACATTACATCTGCCATCTTGTAAATTCTGATTCCTCCCTACAATCATCTCTGTATGTAAACACAGCAATTGTGCACTTGGTTTGTGGGAGGGTGTTGTTATGGCTTAGTGATACTGAATAGGCTTAGCTAATGCAACAATGGAAATGCCCAGAGATTTCAGTTGTGGAACCAGTCCACAATAGCAAATCAGGGATATACCATTCTGTTATTTTTTAGCTAATGAACCACATGGAAAGGGACATGGTGGCTCAGTGGCTAAGACACTAAGCTTGTCGATCAGAAAGGTAAGCAGTTTGACAGTTCGAATCCCTAGTGCCACATAATGGAGTGAGCTCCTGTTACTTGTCCCAGCTTCTACCAAACTAGCAGTTTGAAAGCACATAAAAATGCAAGTAGAAAAATAGGGACCCACTTTGGTGGGAAGGTAACAGCATTTTGTGCGCCTTCGGCATTTAGTCGTGCTGGATACATGACCACAGAGACATCTTCGGACAGCACTGGCTCTTCAGTTTTGAAATGGAGATGATCACCACCCCCTAGAGTCGAGAATGACTAGGACATATGTGCGAGGAAAACCTTTACCTTTTTACCACATGAAAATTGTCAGGCTTGCTGGCAAAACTTGGCAAAATTTTTCAGACAGCCAGCTCACCTCAGGATGATTTAACTAGTCTTTAGGCCTGAATTCAGCTTAAGGCCCCTTGGACGTACAACATGCTTGGTAAGATAAAAGTATTCATTGTGGATTAGGAAGAAGTCACAAAAACAGCTGATTCACCTCTGTCAACATGAAATTGTAATTCCATCTTTATACTTGTTTAATTCCAACATTTCCCCCCTTCCCTTATTTTAACGGACTTTCCCCGCCATCCTTCTTTGCCTTGTATGCCTTTTGATATAACTGACATCTCTACCCTGAGAAACTCTGACTCTCAGCTTCCAGAGAAATCCAGTTTCATCCTAGAATGTAGATCTGTTTAATGTAATGAAATGTCTGTGTTGAAACAAAATGCATGGCACACTAATAAAGAAATTAGACTGAAATACACACACACAGAGACACGCATGTGTGGATGCACGCGCACGCACACACATGGTTTCCTCAACTTAGTGCTCTCCAGATGTGTAAGACTAATTGCCAAAAATTTCCCAACCAACAGCTGGCTGGGGGATTATGACAATTGAAATTGAACACAATGGCTGGGTTTGTACAAAGCATTATAGCTAAAAGACTGGGAAACCTATTTTTCAGTACATTCTGGAAACTCGATCATTGTCTTAGCTGTTGAATGAACCAAGCTAGGACTTTAAGTGTTAATATGACTTTTTCTCCCTTTATGCATAGCCTCTTACTGTGTTTTGTTCTCCCGTGGTTAGAGGTGTGTAGATTGTATTGCGTGAACTCAGTCACTTGGAGAACAACGTTGAAGTATATAGTCTATATCTTTTCACACTCGTCCCACCTGAACGATTGTAATAATTGGCAGTCGGGTTGGTGGAAATACTTGGAGAGGCAGTAGGCAGCCCTGGTAGGTCACAGAGGATTTTTGAACATTTTTATTTGTTTGTTTGTTTGTTTGTCATACATGTGCAGGATAGCTGGTATAAGTATGAACATGGACATGAACAAAGGAAATGAATGCAAGTAAATGGAACAGTAGGACAGGGACGGTAGGCATACTGGTGTGTTTATGCATACCCCCTTTATGGACCTCTTAGGAATAGGGTGAGATCCATGGTAGACAATTTAAGGTTAAAGCTATGGGGGTTTGAGGGAGTCGGGTAGAGCATTCCAGGCATTGAACAGCAATACAACTGTTGCTGAAGTTGTATTTTCTGCAATTGAGTTTGGAGCAGTTTACCTTGAGTTTGTATTGGTTGTTTGCCCATGTATTATTGAGGTTGAAGCTGCAGTAGTCATTTACAGGTAGGACGTTATAGCACACAATTTTGTGTACTATGCTTAGGTCCGACCACTGCCGTCACAGTCCCAGATTGTCCAAGCTCAAAATTTCGAGCCTGGTGGCATAAGGGAGTCTATTGTGAGCAGAGGAGTGGAGTACTCTTCTCGTGAAATACCTCTCGACTGCTCGATCGTATTAATGTGCGATATACAGTGTGGATTCCAGGCAAACAAGCTGTATTCGAAAACTGGTCTGGCAAAGGTTTTGTATGCCCTAGTTAGCAGTACAATGTTGCTGGAGAAGAAGCTTCGCAAAATTAGGTTAACAACTCTTAATGCCTTTTTTGGCAATGCTGTTACAGTGAACTCTGGGGCTTAGATCATTTGCGATGAGTACTCCTAGTCCTTGACAGAGTGAGGGTCATCTTTGAGGTCGTATCCGCCCAGCTTATATTTGGTGTTCTGATTTTTGTTGCCAATGTGTAAGACACAGCATTTGTTAGTTGAAATCTGGAGTTGCCAATTCAGCGACCATCTGACACATAGTCAAGGTTGCTTTGTAGGGCAGCCACATTGTCAGTGGTGTTAAGTAATCTTACGTCATCAGAGAAGAATAATAATCCCTACACAAGAAGAAGGAAGCTAACATAGAGAATAGCATAAGTAAATATGGACATACCTCCATAGTGGTAAGTTTCAGAATGATTTTTCTGAGAGAGACACGACTCCTGGAGGAGGAGAGGTGAGCTTTTAGGGGAGAAAGACAACTTGCAAAGGCAGGTGCTTATCCTCGGGTGGGGGCAGAAGACATTTAGCCCCAAACCCATTGTCTCTACTAAACAGGGAAGCTGCAGAGAAGAATAAAAGAAAGGAATACAAACAGTTCACTGTATGAGTTAAGCCGACATTGTTAGGAGATCCAGGATTTAGCTTTGTCTTTTATTTAAGGAGAGAGTCCAGAGGTGGTATTTACCCAGTTCTGACTGGTTCTGGTGAACCAGTAGCAGAAATTTTGAGTAGTTCAGAGAACCGGCAAATACCACCTCTGGCAGGCTGCTCCCCCATCTATTCACTGCTTCGCGAATCCCAGCTGATTGGCTGGGTCTTCTTCTGTTGCCCTGCACAGGAGAAGGGAGCCGGAAAACAGGTTAGTGGGGTGGGGAGGGAATGGAGATTTTATACTATCCTTGGCCTGGTTGTTGGGTGGAAATGGGGATTTTGCAGTATCCTTCCCCTGCCATGCCCACCAA